TTGCTATAGAGGTCACCGTATATGAACTTTCGTACTTTTGTCATCCGAATGTAAGGTAACGTCGCTAATTAGATTGAAGAAAATTAGGGGCATTACAATTGGAATCAGAGCTCTAGGTCATAGATCTTGTAGACTAGCCTACGATGTAGGCCTAAGGTACTTCCATGGTCCTCCAGCAACCACGCCGTCACCGTCAGGTACATATGTATATTGTAAGGAAGAATTATGGTTTATACGCTTGCATGTCCCGATATTAGTATGTTCCATGATGTGACAGATATATGGTTATATGTGTATGCAGCCTATGCCATTGTGATTGTTTCTGGAAGCTGATAGACTAGTATGTAAGCCCATAGTCATTGCTATGTTTAAATATACCACCTAGAACGCGAGGAGGGAGTACTAGGGGGTGGCCCCCACTTAGGGGTAGAGGGAGAGGCCGAAGGGGACGAGGTTCAGACAGCAAGAACTCCGTGGAAGAGCCCGACGTAGCGATGATGTTCCCACCACCAGCGACACCCCAGCCCGCTTGAGACTCGGTGACGGAACTGGTAGACATATTGCTGATCATAGTACGAAACCTGTCCGGTGATCAGTCAGCTAACGATTCAACATCTACCAGGGAAGCCAAGTGCTTGCAGGATTTTAAGAGGGGCGACCCACAAACCTTCAATGGAACTTCCGATGACCCGACAAAGGCATAGTTGGGGCTGAGTTCCATAAAGATCGTATTCAGGCTAACAAACTTCCCCGGAAGACCAAAAGGTGGAATGCGCAGCATTCATGCTACATGCAGATGCTTAAGTGTGGTGGCGATCCACACGAGAACTTATCAGACCTGGGGGGGTGGAAGCTCATGGACAAAATTTAAGGAGGCTTTTGTAGAGGCATACTACCCAGAGGACGTCTAGATCCGCAAACATCAAGAATTCACCCACCTGAAGCAGAGGGGGCGTTCGGTTACTGCTTATACTAGAGAGTTCGCTAAGTTGAAATGCTTCACACGGGATTTGGTAGACACTGACTACAGGACAGCCCGCCAGTTTATGCTGGGGTTGGACAAGAAGATCCGTAACGTGGTTGAGGCGATAGCCCCTACGACTTATGCGACGCTCTGAGAGTAGCACAGGCTATGGAGGGGACCAATGGACCAAGTGAATCCCGCTCATCGATTAAAAGACGGAAACGACGCAGTGACCGAGATGATCGTCGCTAATCACGTTCATCGATCGAGAGACAGAGACTATGCCGCGATTGGGATGACTATCGCGCTTCATCCCCATTGCTGCCACCGAGATGACTAGACAGACAGCGTCGCGATCGCAGGCGAAGCCAGCAGGGAACGGAAAACAGAGCAGACGATAGACCCAAGTTCATTGAGTGTGGGAAGAACCATTGTGGTTGATGCCTGGCTCGCTCTGGTGCCTGCTTCTGATGCGAAAAGGAGGGTCACTTGGCCAAGGACTATCCGGGTGGTCGCGCCAATAACACCGGGGGTCAGCAGAGATCACTACGCATAACTAATGCCTCTGTTGGATTTTATGTCATAAAACTCATAGTTTGTAAACAAAAACATATTCTATTTTCAATAAAGTTATTATCGATGTTTATTTAGTAAAGATTGTTATTGAATAAAGTGAATTTTACGATTATTAATCTAAATCCAATAAACTAAGAACACTCTAACTATAGTATGATTACTTGAACTATATGTAGAGACATAAGGGTGGATCAAGTTCAAGTATATAGTCAAAATGATCTATAGTATAGGGATAATGTTGAATACCTTATCTTGGGGACACTATGGATGCGGCCCACTTTTGTATATGACATAAACAATGTGATCACTAAATTGTACATGCGAAGACATGTGAGTAGGGGCGTCCTATGCAATGAGTATTGCATAAGATCGGACCATGAAGAAAATCACTCTCACTTTATAATGTCATTTACTATTGAGACTGATTTTCTTTTCATTCGATGACCTAGATAACTTGATCTTAATCCTGAGCTAATCATGAACTCCTGTTTATTCGAAATTATCCTTAGATTTGCATGGGTGAGAGTGGCTCGAGTTCGCCGACTCAATAGGCCTCCAATTTCAGGGGTAAGACTAGGTGAATGGCTGGGGACGTGGGGTGCAAGATGGAATTCTCTCCTACCCACTTTTAAGGATAGAAGAGAGGTAGTTCCCTTAAGTACTGAGTCTAGGTCTTGAACAAGGGGCCCCACCCTCTCATTAGCCTGAAAGGGATTCGGTTTATTGGTTGGACCACAAACCAATTATTCATTAGAGGATCAGTGGAACATAAGAAACAAGAAATAAGTTCAGGGGTAAAACGGTAAATTAACCCAACTCTAGTTACGAACAACCTGTGAAGGATCGACTAACTAATAATGGTTATATCAAATGGATAGAAATATATCTATAGTGAGGGGAGTGCAACTACTAGGCTATAGTGAAATGTTCTAGTAGTTAACGAATGTTGGTTAACAAGGTTAATGAGTTTAACCGATTAATCTTGGACATGATCTATAGGTCCATTAGATCCCTCTACTAGCTCATATCGGACTAAACCATAGAACATTGTGACGAGTGAGTTCGAAGTGTTTGAATTCAAATTAGGGAATATGCGCTACATATATACAATATATTTAACCGCATTTTTGTTTTATTTACGAATTAAACAAAAAGAGAGAATCTGAGATATTTAAATAAGATTAAATATTTTAATCAAATAATATTTGAATTAATATTAAATATTAATTAAATAGTTTAATCAATCATTTAATATTACTTTAATTTGAAATTAATTATTCAAATTAGTTGTTGAATTAAAATGAAGAAAGTCAAAATGGTGACTTTATTTAATAGAAAAATTCATGTTAGTGGAATTTTGAGGTGTCAAAATTTGGTTTAACCAAATTTGCAGGCTTGACAAATAAACCCCACAAATTTGAGTGGAATTTTGAGTGTCAAAATTTGGTTAACTCAAACTTGTATGCTTGCCACATAATCCCATATATTTGAGTGGAATTTTGAGTGTCAAAATTTGGTGATCGCAAATCTGCATGAACATGCAAACATGACTCTATAAATAGAGTGATCAAGGTACATGGAACTTCTCCCTGGGAAAAACCTTGAGAAAAACTCTCTCTTCATATATACTAAATCCCTCCCAGTCACTCATCGGATTCCACAATCCCGTTCTAAGGTGGGAGAATAGTGGAGAAGACACTAGTGGTGGTTCGAAACTGGTTCGTGAGGAAAAAGAAATTTGAACTACAAAAGGTTAGTACTCAAAGATCTTGAGTTTTAATACTTATGAACATGCTAGTTATTTACTATAATTGATGTTCTAAGAGTGCCTAAGATCCAATTGTTTCCACATGTGTTATATTAACTCCATCAGCTCCCACTCAGAACCGCCCTCTAGCGAGAGCCTATGCCTCTACTAGCAGGGATGTTGAAAACCCGGATGCGGCGGTGACTGGTACATTATCCGTCCTTGGTCATTTTTCTTTGACGTTGTTTGACTCGGGGTCCATGCACTCTTTTATCTCCACTGATTTTGTTAGTCAAACAAGGATCATATTAGAACCCTTGTTACATGATTTTTTAGTGGGCACCCCGGCAGGGGTGGATATGGTCGCTGCCTATAGGGTAAGGAATGACCACGTAGTAGTATCAGGGGTTAGCTTGGGCATAAACTTAATGGTGGTCGATATGACCGTGTATGATGTAATCCTAGGCATGGACTGGTTAGCAGAAAACCATGCTAGACTATCACAAGAAGGAGTTTATTTTCTCGCCACCGTTCAGAACCAGATTCAAATTCAAGGGCACAAGTCTAGGCACAATGCCCAAGGTGATATCGATGATGAAGGCAAAGAAGCTAGTCCAGCATGGAGCTTAGACGATACTAGCCAGTGTGGCAAAGGTCAAGGAAGGAATCTCCCTAACTGCATTTCCTGTAGTGAAGAGTTTCTGGACGTGTTCCCAGAGGACTTGTCAGGGATCCCACCATCTCGAGATGTCAATTTTACCATAGAACTGGAACTAGGAACCAGTCCTATATCCAAGGCCCCGTACCGCATGGCACCAGCGAAGCTGAAAGAACTCAAGACGCAATGACAAGAGCGGCTAGACAAGGGATTTATCAGACCTAGCGTGTCGCCTTGGGGTGCACCGGTATTATTCGTCAAGGAAAAGGATGGTTCCATGCGCTTGTGTATCAATTACAGGGAACTGAATAAGAGGACGGTGAAGAATAGGTACCCCTCCCACGCATTGAGGACTTATTCGACCAGTTTAGAGAGGCCACAATGTTTTTAAAGATCGACCTTTGGTCAAGTTACCATTAGAGAGTAAGATAAAAAGCGAGGACGTGCCGAAAACAGCTTTTAGAACAAGGTACAACCATTATGAGTTTGTGGTAACGTCATTTGGACTCACCAATGCCCCTATAGTGTTCATGGAGCTGATGAATCGTGTGTTTAAAGAATATCTGGATACCTTTTTCATTGTATTCATAGACGATACCTTGGCGTACTCAAAGATGGACCAGAAACACCAAATGCACCTGAGAAAGGCCTTGACAGTCCTGAGGGAAAATAGACTACATGCCAAGTTCTCGGAGTGTGAGTTTTGGTTACGCGAAGTCTCATTCCTAGGACATGTGATATCAGCGAAAGGAATATCAGTTGACCCTGCCAAGGTAGAAGTAGTCACCAATTGGGCTCGTCCAACCACTGTGGCTGAGGTATGGAGTATTGTGTGTCTGACAGGCTACTACTGTAACACCCAAAAAAAAAAAAAAAAAGGGCTAAGTCAATTGCAGGGCGAACATGTCATTTTGCCCCTCCAGCCCTAATAAGGGTCCAAGGATAACCCCGTCACATCCCCTGCAAAAGAAAAAGAGTTAGAGAGAAATTTGAGAGGAGTCAGTCGTGAAGTTTAACAAACTACCATCAGAATCCACCTTCAGATGAGACTCGTACAAGGATTGAGAGGTTAGCGAGGTCAACGCTCCGTCAAGACACAAGAACATTTCGCGAGGTAAGGTTCTGAACGACATTTCTCAGATCTGAGCTTTTCCTATGTGAAACGAGTCCTAAAATGCTGAAATATTCACCTAGGAACAACTCTAGGCACGATCTGTGAAGAAGTTTGGCCAAGACCTCAACCCGAAGGTGGAGATCCGAGAATCGTCTAAGAACGGTAAGTGAACTTCCGACGCTCTTAACTCGTTCGGTAGTCAAGAAAAAATTACAAAAAAAATATTAGGACGTAAACCGTAACACGATCTAGAACTTTGCCGAAGAAATCATATCGATCCGATCTACAGATCGAAAGATATGAAAATTGGAAAATGGGACTATGTTATGGATTTTAGAGGACAAAGAAGAAAAAGAAAAAAAAAAAAAAAGAGGTCAGTCGGTGAGTGGCGAAGGGCAGTGTGACAGGCGCCGGACACGCGTCGACCGTAGGCTGGAGCTACGCAGCTCTAACGTGGTGACGACATGTGTCATCTGCAAAGCCTAGTTGAACTGCAAGCACGAGCTGAGCCGAGCCGAACCGGACCGGCCGAACCGTGACTGCGCAGTGGCTGATGCGTGCGGCCTGTGACTGACGCATGTCCACGCACGTTGTCAGCGCACTACTGGCACGTGAGTTCGCGTGAAACGGCCGTTTTGGCCCGGTTGCCCTCTGTTTGCCTTATTTTTGTCCCAGTTTCAATTATAATACTGTTTTTATGTGAATAGGGACCTACTATAAAGAAATCAATATTTTTGGACATCTCACGGGCAAAAAAACGCTAGCAAAAAGGCACGCGTCAACCAGGTCAGTCACCAACCGGTATTTAGGAAGAAATACTTGTAGGATTCGCTTCGATTGCATGCATGCTAGTAATTTTGTTTCAAATTAGCTCTCAATGTAAAATATTAGCCAGATTGATTGCTATGAGTGTATTGGATGAATTATCTGAGTGTTTCTTGTATGCTTTAAGCTTCCGTCGTATGTATGCATGCGTTTAATTTATGTTGAAATTGTGTATTCCGTTTTCCGGGTGCTTGATGGACGAATTCACCCCATTGAGCGCGAACTTCATGCTCTGGGTGCTTGATGGAGGTCATCACTCCGTTGAGCCGGTATGACTAGTTTGCATGAATTATATATTATGATGTTAGAAGACGGTTGCATGCACACTCTGTTAATTGCTCGGTTCCATTTCTATGATAAGCTTAAGGGATTACTGTTAGGAGCAATATGTCGCTCTAGCCGGACTTAATTTTCCCTCAGGAACTTAGCGGTTTACCACGACAACAAGGTACCTTAGGAATGTTCATAGATTTCTAGCGTGAGAACGATATCTATAGCTTCGTGGGAGGACCAAGGGTCCCTGATCAATCCTTACTGCTCTTAACCATTTTGCATGGGAAATGTGTCCCCACGTCGTACACCCCATTAGCTGCATGAGAATAGGTTGGGTCGCACCCCTATAGGGGGACTATATGGGCGTAGGGGTATTCAGCACACCCCTAGGCTAGATACCATGTAGTCCTAGATAGCCATGTAGAGGTAGCATCTCATAGGGAGATACCAACCATATTAGCTTGGCGTAAGGAACCTCTAGGCGTTTAATGAAAGGACGATGAACCGGTGAAACCCAAGGGGCAAGCTCCAAGGGACTAAGATTAGAACCAGATGTCCTAGAACCGAATTAGAAAATTGTGGGAACCTATTAAATTAAGATGCGAAGAGAGCATACAAGTAGGTGGCTTACTGAGTATAATTTTTTATACTCATCCTTGCTATGTTTTCCTTTTTTCAGGAGCGTGAGGCGTCGGTCAAGGGCGGGCGTGATGGAGACGGGGATTGTCACAGAGGAACAGGTTGTCCCAAGGCGTCAGTCCAGTCTTTATTTTGTGTTTGCATACTTTCAAAATTTATTTCCAAAATTTCATGTGTTTTGTTGTTTGTCGTCCAAAAACTTTATTGAAATTTAAGGATTTTCTTTATTTCATATTTAAATCACTTTCTGCATTTGTGTCTTGTCATTAGTCACGGTTCGTAGTAAAATATTGGGTCGTGACAAATTTGGTATTAGAGTAGTCAGGTTATAGGTCCTGTAGACATTTAGGATAGAGAGTCGTGTCCTCTGTGACCTCACTCGTTAAACACATGTCGCTCACGACCAGACGTTCTCACCTGACAGAAACATAGAGACAAAGGTTAAGCTAGTATTTATAGAGCATACCATGACCGACTATGGCATTATAATCGCACATTACCTAGGAGATATGCTAAGAATGAATTGTAACCATAGTTCCTTTTTCTCTTGTGGTAGATAATGGCACCAAAGAGACACGAACCATATGTAGGGTCCGAACCCAGAAGGGGAAGAAGAGAGGAAGTTCAGGACACGTCGATTCCAACACCTGAAGAGGAACAACCTGAATTTCAAGAGGAGGTTGGGGATACGCCCCAAACTAGCAAGGGGACAGTACCACAACCATCAAGAACAAAAAGATGCCTAAGGAAGGCCAAGGCCCGAAGGCTGCTTGATACACCCCCTATTGCTCCCTTCTCTGAGGAGGTCCCATCGGGTCCAATCCCATGTACAGCAGTCCCGCTAAACCAGCCGTTAGCTATGCCCATAGTAGAGATGTTTCAGACGTTCATGATGACCTCGATAGAAAATCAAGCTCTGACGAACCGGATGATACAAAACATGATGGCTAATTAATCAACAGGGCAAGGGGGCAAGGATTCAGGGACTATAACGGTGGAGTCCCGCTACTTAAGAGATTTTCAGAGGCATAAACCGCCTTCCTTTGACGGAGAAAAGGTGGATCCCATTGTCACTGAGAACTAGCTAGAGGCCATAGAAACGGCCTTCCATTTTATGAGCTGCCCGCCAAAGTATGAAGTTCATTGTGGGACGTATATGCTGAAAGGAGAGTCGCACTTTTGGTGGAAGGGTGCTCAGAAGACCATTATACCACAAAGAGAGTTAATTACATGGTGTCAGTTTAAAGATGCGTACCTTCACAAATGTTACCTAATCACTGCCAGAGTGAAAATGCAGACAGCATTCCTCGCACTGAAAAGGGAGACAAATCAGTGGAGGAATATGACTTGGAGTTCAATAGGCTGGCGAGGTTTTCTCCAACCTATGTTAGTTTTGAGGAGTTGAAGGGCAAACCATTTATTGCTGGCCTGAGGGAGGAACTAAGGGTGAATGTGGCATCCTTGTCATCCTTCGTCTATGCATAAGCCCTTCAAGTTGCGACCCTGCTCGACGCGTCCCGCATCGACAAGCTGCAGTTGGGAACAGCTCAATCATCCCACACTGCATCCCAGGGAAAGGTGGTAGACCGCCCCGTGACCGCACTGATAAACGAAGAAGGGCCCCTGTACGGAACATGACCCTTTGTCCTAACTATCGGCGTCCTCACACAGGAGAATGCAGAGCAAGAACAGGCGCCTGCTACAGATGCGGCCAGGTAGGGCACTTTGTAGTGGATTGCCCTCAGAGGAACGATCAACATGTCAATTGGCCTGCAGTACAACATTAGAGGGGCCAAGCTCCTCAACATCAGCAGGGGAGAGCTGTAGCCCATGCAACAACAGCCGGGCGAGCTGTCGCCCATGCAACAACAGCCAGGCAAGCTGACCAGCCTGACGCAGTTGTCACAGGTACGCTACCCGTATTTGGCCATCTTGCTTTAGAATTGTTTGATTTGGATTTGACGCATTCATTCGAATCTGAGGAGTTTGCAGAGCTAGCACACCTAGAGAAATAACTTTTAGAGATTACCCTATCAGAGTCCACCCCTGCTCACGAGTTGTTGCTAGCTACCCATAGGTTTAAGGGAGGTAGTGTAACAATATAAGGGTGTGTCATCGAAGCTACACTGATAGTGTTAAGCATTCAAGACTTCGATGTCATCTTGGGTATGGATTGGCTAGGCGAGAATCGCATTTTGATAGATTGCGAGACTCGAGTAGTGATTCTCAAGCTCCCGTCAGGGGACAACTTTACCTAAAACGGAGCCACTTCCAAAGGTGCCCCAAGCATCATAACATCGCTAAAGGCTAAGAAGCTAATTCGTAGTGGCGCAAGTGCATTTCTAAACAGCGTGATCTTAGACAATAGTAACAAACAAATAATCTCATCGGTACACATCATCAGGGAGTTCGTAGATATCTTTTCGGAGGATCTGCCAAGTTTGCCCCCAGCTAGGGAAGTCGATTTTGGGATCGATTTAGAACCAGGAACTGTGCCGATCTCCAAGGTGAAGGTGTTAATATAACACATGCGGAAGCAATTTGGATCTTAGGCACTTAACATCAATTATAGTAAATAACTAGCATGTTCATAAGTATTAAAACTTAATGAGCTTGAATACTAACCTTTTATAGTTCAAATTCTTTTTTCCTCACGAACCGGTTTTGAACCACTTCTAGTGTCTTCTCCACTATCCTCCAGCCTTAGAACGGGATTGTGGAATCCGGTGAGTGACTAAACTTGGGAGGAATTTTGTATATATGAAGAGAGTGATTGTGAGAGGTTTTTCTCAAGGTTTTTCACCAACAATAAGAACTTTCATGAATTATGATCACTCTATTTATAGAGTCATGTTTGCATGTTCATGCAAATTTGAGATCACCAAATTTTGACACTCAAAATTCTACTCAAATGTTTGGGATTATGTGGCAAGCATGCATGCTTGAGTTAACCAAATTTTGACACTCAAAATTCCACTCAAATTTGTGGGGTTTATTTGGCAAGCATGCAAGTTTGGTTAAACCGAATTTTGACACCTCAAAATTCCACTAACATGAATTTTTCCATTAGATGAAGTCAACATTTTGACTTTCTTCATTTTGATTCAACAATCAAATTTGAATTATTAATTTCAAATTAAAGTAATATTAAATGATTAATTAAACTATTTAATTAATATTTAATATTAATTCAAATGAGAATCCCAATTAATTCCGACACATATTTGATTAAGATATTAAATGTTATTTAAATATCTTAGATTCTCTCTTTTTGTTTAATTTGTAAATAAAACAAAAAATGCGGTAATATATCGTATATATGTAGCGCATTCTCCCTAATTTGAATTCGAACACTTCGAACTCACTCGCACACTGTTCTATGATTTAGTCCGATATGAGCTAGCAGAGCGACCTAATGGACCTATAGATCATGGGCTCCAACGATCCAAGATTAACCGATTAAACTCATTAACCTTATTAACAAC